GATTGCTTTCTTTTTTAAGAATCATTCATTCATTCATTCATTTATTTATTTATTTATTTCCATTTGCTATTATTTTTTAATTTGACCAGACAGAGATAGAGACAGAGAGAAAGTGAAAGTGAGAAAGCAAGCCACCAGGTCTATGACTCCAACCATAGTTGGCCATGTGGGAATCCAGTGCCTTTAACCACATCGCCTGCCAGCCCCTGGGCTTTATTTCTTAAACTGAGCTAGAGGTACATACTGGCTCAATGTATACTTTCTACCATATATATTTTATGAATATTTTGTATATATATTTAATAAAAACAATTTAAAAAAAGACTCACTCCCTGCACTCAAAAAGTTTAAATTCTGGGCCAGCAGATGGAGTGCAGGTTGATAAAGTTGGATTCCACATGGCCAACTACGTGGTTTGAGTTCAGGACCTGACAACTTGGGAATCACACCAGCCAGATGTGTGTGCGTGCCCAAAATCCCAAGAGGAAAGGGGACTATGGCATGGCCATATAACATAGAGGGTGATTTCTCACATTCCCTGTCTATCTCCGATGTGTGTACAGCCCTATGGCACACTAACTAAGTAACTAAATAAAAATTAAACTCACTACACATTGTATTCATGTACTAGAAAAATCACACTGTACCCCACAAGTATACAGAAGTGTTTTACGTCAACAACAACAACAACAAAAACCCTAAACATAAGAAGGGGAAGAAACACAATCCCTATAAATATAATGCAGTGTATTTATTCAACATGCAGTTCTACAGCTTCAAAAAAAACCAACAGGTTGAGACATACAAAGTGCTCTATAAAGTAATATCTGTATTCTAGTGTGATAATACACAGTATAAAATGGTATTCATATTGGTTTCAGGATAATAACTGTACAGTTTAAACATCATTTGTTTTTTATTTTAAAAGCATTTAGCATGTAAATAAAATTAGGTGATGTATACAGGAGCCAATATATGGTGGCTCTAATACTTATCAAAATGAAACCTGAGAAAAACCTTCCATCTGTTTCTCTAAAAGCTGACTAAATGATATAGTAATGATTCTTTTTCTTTTGTTCCCCAGAATAATACCTAGCAGGAAACCAATCTCATCACAAAAATCTATTTCATTTTTTAAACTCACCTGTCTTAAAAAACAAAAAAAAATTCTCTTTAAAATGCTAATCGCAAGGCCTAGTAGTGGTTAAGGGAACCAAATCACACATGACTGACCATGCAATTCAAATCCTGGCCCAACTGGATGGAAAAACACCAGGCACATGAGCATATATCCCCAAAATCCTCATGAGATAAAGAAATAGAGACTAGAAGGGATTGTGGCGTGACCATGTCCCACTAGAAGGTGCTTTCTTCTCCATCTCTCTGACGGAACACACGTACCCTCTGGTGAATTTTTTTTTAAAGTTAAAAATTAAATGTTAATTATAGAACAGTAAGCATAATATATTCTCATTTGTATTTTTATTGGGTTGTTGGAAAAGTCATGATGCATTTTTTTGCATAGAAAATCACAGAAAAATTTATCTTGATTTTCCCAACAACCTAACAGAATACAGTATATGTATCTATCCATGTAATTACATTTTTTAAAATTTGCTAGAGGGCATATCCACTTGCCAGAGCATGACAAAGAAGAGAGGAGGAAAGTGAGAAAGCACTTCCCCATGGGGGATGTTCACACCATAATCTCTTCTCTTCCACTCCTCCTTTGGGGATTTTGGGTACACATGCACATGCACCCAGCATGTTTTTCAAGCTGCAGGGTGTAGGACTTGAACCCCACAGTCGGCCCTGTGGGATCCAGCTGCCTTAACCACCACACCATGGGCTGGCCCAAATATGATCATTTTAAACCGACCATTTTAACATATGGGAAGTTTCTTCCATCCTCTTTTAACTGAAAAAGTAAGCCATTTTTAACCTGCCGTATTTAAAAATATAAAAGTAACTAAGATGACCAATATAAATAACTGTTATTATATACTGGTTACTCTCACTATGATCATATTTCAAACAGTAAATTATCATACACCATCCCTACATACTTCTCAATCTATAATATAGCAAAGATTCAATTATAATTATTGAATTTTTGCACCTTAAAACTGCAAACTGGGTTTTAAAAATAGCTTGATAAGGGACCAGCAATTAGTATAATGGCTATGTCACTGGACTCCCATGTAGTCAACCACAGTTCAAGTCCCAGACCTGGTAGCTTAAACTCACACCAGGCGCATGTGCGTGCCCAAGATCCCAAGAGGAAAATGGAGAAGGGACTGTGGTATGACCACCCCCCCTGGGAGATGATTTCTCACTTTCTGTCTCTCTGTTTCTCTCTGTCTTTCTGGCGAGCACACGCGCCCTATAGCAAAAAAAAAAAAAAAAAAGAAAAGAAAAGAAAAGAAAAAATAGCTTGATAAGAAGCTATTTTTTTCAAGGTTTTCTAATAAATATCATTTCAAGGTTTTCTAATAAATAAGACTATTTTTTAAATTAAAACAATATTTACAAATAAAATCAATTCTTTTCCATCATCAAATATTCATTTCAGGCTGTACTCCTTTTCTTTCTTTCTTTTTTTTTTGGGGGGGGGGGGACAGGTTTTTGCTATAGAGCACATGTGCTTACCAGAAAGACAGAGACAGACAGAGAGACAGAAACTGAGAAATCACCCCCCCAGGGGGGATGGCCATGCTGCAATCCCTTCTCCTACATTTTCCTCTTGGGATCTTGGGCACATACATGCGCCCAGCATGAGTTTAAGCCACCGGGTCCGTGACTGGAACTGTGATAAACCACACGGGAGTCCAGCAACGTAGCCATCACACCAACTCCTGGTCCCACTCATTTTCTCTCTTAAGTTTATTTATTTATTTCATGAGAGAGAGACAGAAAATAGTGATAGGATTTTGTCATGCTGCAATCACCCCCACCCACAAGTCTAACCGGCCAGGATCACAGGCATACCCAGCATGCTCAGGTTGATCCAGGATCCCAACTTGGGTCTTCCCATGGGGCTCCAGTTTGCGAAGCAATGCCCTATCGCCTGTACCACCGTGGCTGGGCACAGCCTATTACTCTTGAAGCAAAAGATCAATTGGCAGCAAGATTATATGTACCCTACCAATTTTCAAATTCAACTCAAAGAAAGTAATACTTACATCCTATAAAAGTCAAACAAACATAAGTTTAAAACTACTTATTAATACTTTATGATCAAAGTGCCTATGCTACATTTTTATAACTAAATGCTAGTCAATTCAATATAACAGAAGAGCTAACAATTTTTTATTCCTCACCTATTTTCAGAAATTCTCTGAAATATAAGACAAGTTTATAAGATCAAGTTATTTATTAAAAAATAGAAACTGACTTAAAATAATTATATATTGGGTCATATGCAAAACTGTGTTATGACTTTCCTGATTACCCAAGACCTAGTATTTTTAAAATTCCAAAGCCCACAATCAAATAGATTCCTATTCTGCTGTCTACTGCAATACTATTAAATATACTTACACATGAAAATGTATGTGTGTGATATATATGTTTGTAGTAAATTTGATCATACAATAATTTTTTTGGACATTATGGAAAATCATACCTATAATCCTGACATACTAAAATACTCATACGCCTGCTATTTATACTGGATACAGTAGTAAGTTTTTAGAATTTCATTAGTGGATCGCTTCCTCCTCTTACTGAGATGATCACGTTGACCTTTAAGTATTTTCTAAGTCATCTCTGCACGTTTATGGGCTAAACCAAATCTGGATGTAGCATTTGATCTCTTTACAGATGGCTTGATTTACATTTGCTAATATACTTAGTAAACATTTTTACTTCTATATTCATGACAGAAATTGACCTGTATCTAATATTTCTCTCTTACAATGTTACTGTCTGGTATAAGTGTCAGTGTTACACAGGCCTTGTACAATGAGTTGGAAAGTATTTCCTTTTTTCCATTTTTTTTTTTTTTTTGGAGAGGTTTTTGCTATAGGGCACATGTGCTCACAGAGAGAGACAGAGAGACAGAAAGCAAGAAATCACCCCCCACCCCCAGAGGAATGGTCACACCACAATCCCTTCTGCTCCATTCTCCTCTCGGGATCTTGGGCACACACGCACATGCGTCTGGTGTGAGTTTAAGCCACCAGGTCCGGGACTCGAATAGTGGATGACTATGTGGGAGGCCAGAGATGTAACCATTACACCATCTGCTGGTCTCTTTTTCTCTATTATCTGGAAAAGTTCACACAGAATTTAGAATGATCTATTCCTTAAAATTTGACAACATTCAACTGTAAAATTATCTGGGCCTAATGTTTCCCGAATTAAATATTTTGTTTCTTTTTTACCACTTATTCAACTGCAAGAACAGTCATAGAATTTTTCAAGCTAATTATTTTTTAATTGATTCTGAAAAGCTGAATTCTCTAGAAATTTATCTATCCCTATCCACAGAATTGGGACCAAAAATTCATAACTCTTCAGAACTGTGACATTCATTCATCTGAATTTAGAATCAGCAACATACTTTAAGAGTACTAAATAACGGGACCAGCAGATGAGGTAATACTTACGTTGCTGGACTCACACATAGTGGACCATGGTTTAAAATCCCAGACTTGGTGGCTTAAACTCACGCCGGCTGTGTGTGCGTGCCCCAAATCCCAAGAGGAAAATGGAGGAGAAGATGTTGCCATCCCCCAGGAGGTGATATCTTGCTTTCTTTCTAATACTCTCTATCTCTCTGGCGAGCGCACATGACCTATAACAAAAAATCTCTCTCTCTAAAAAAAAAAAATGAGTACAAAATAACATATGGTTTTATTTTGGTTTTATTTTTAATGACAGGTTGAGAAACCTGTAACAGTTTTTAAAACTAAAGAAAATTATCTTGGTACTACAAAACCATCATTGCTACTTCTGACAAACAAAAATAGGTGTGCATATATTTACCCACCACTTACCACCAGAAACAGGGGCATCCATGAAAACTGCTCCCATTTTCTCAACTTCTTTGGCCAATTCTTTTGAAACTGCAGGGTCAATAGTACTGGAATCTATTAATAATGAGCCTTTCTTCACTTTTCTAAGTAAATAAATAAAAATATTTATAGTTTACAACTCTGAATAAACACTTCATGTAACAACCTATAGAATCAGAGATTGCTACAAGCTGCCAGATATCAAGGTTGTCTTTGGTTTCATATTTTAAATATTATTAGTTAGAACTTTTCCAAAAATCTCATATTTATCATCAGGTCAATTATTATTCAAAGTAAACCTAAATGCTTTCAGATAAACCAAAGACCTACATGATATAAATTCTGATTTCAGGTGAAGTACACACTAACTATAATAATATAGGTTAAGCTAAGATATAAGCAATTTAAAGCACCTATTAAGAGGCTAACAGGCAGTATGGTAGTTAAGGTACTGAACTCCCACATGGCTGACCATGGTTCGAGTCCTGACCTGGCTGGCAGCTTGCTTTCTTACTTTTTCTCTTCCTCTCTGGTGAGTAGCACATGCCCTATAGCAAATTTTAAATAATAACAATAAATACACTGAAATCATTCTTCTAAGAAAACTCTATTAACGTTAAAAGGGTTTTTGATAAGATTAAAATTTTTGTTTGTAAAGTAGATGGGTCTTTAAAAACTGATTTGCCTTTAACAAGCCATATTTCAAATTTCCATATCCATGTCATTTCCACTCTGTAGAATAAATCATTGAAATCTAGTCATTTCCTTCAGGATGAAATTTTTTTTTTATAAGTTCAACTTCTTAAAGACAAAATAAAACATCAAACAGGTAGGAAGAAAAATAGGGAAATTAATCCAGAAATCTTATAAAATCTTTGTGTTCTTTATGGTCAGTTTATATAAAAACATTGATAAAGAGAGGAAGCAATCTTTTCATATATATCTTTTACTTCAATATTTAAATGGCATTCTTACAGTAGAACATTTTTGCTTATACTGTAAGCATAGAATCTTTGTCTACATAGTCTCTTATTACCTGTAAGGCAGTGTCCATCTTCACAGAAAACTTTGACCTAAATTATCATTTTTTTAATTATTATTTCAATTTCTTTTATACATTCAATCATGTTACTTAGCTTGCAAAGTGAAAATTCCAACATGTTTATATTTTGCACCAGTCCAGTTGACAATACTATAAGGTTATCCCTCAATAGATAATAACCTACCATTTATTTAAAAGGCTATGGTTAGCCCTTAAGTCTAACTTCTCAAAGTTCTTATTTTTGATAGACAGACTACCGCAAAAGATATAATCATTGCTGGAATATTAGAATTGAGTAAATATAAATACTAAAGGAAGAAATAGAAAAATCATCGATTAAAAAAATCTACTAAAAAGGAAAGTAAAATCCACAGTGTAAAAAAATGGTCACAAAATGATTTAAACAATCATTTTAGACACATGAATTGTTCTAGTTCAAATAAATTACTTGGGTATATTCCACAGAGGAGAAAAAATTAGCTTGTCAGGGAAGTCATGCATATTTTTCTATGCAAAAATACGTTGACTTCCCCAACAACCCAATAGCATACTCTATATTAGAGTTCACCTCAGTGTATAGGATTTACTTTATATAATCCAGACAATAAAAATCAAGTTTATCAGTCTTCTATGACCTTAATACACACACACGCACACACACACACATACGTGTGCACGTGCGTGTACATATTAGGGAGATCTTTTATATAGGGTGCGTGTGCTCACCAGAGAGGCAAAGAGACAGAGAGACAGAAAGCAAAAAAAATCATACCCCACAGGGGATGGCCATGCCACAATCCCTTCTCATCCATTCTTCTCTCAGGATTTTAGGCACACACACGCATGTGCCCGGCATGAGTTTCAAGTCACCAGGTCTGGGACTCAAACCATGGTCGACTACACAGGAGTCCAGCAACATAACCATTACGCCATTTGCTGGTCCCAACCTTAATATTTTTAATATCTAAGTCCTGAAGCAATGGGAAATCATCTCAAAAATTACACATGCACTAGGTGTGGGGAAATGATTCTGACTCAATAGAAACTAAATACCCACCAATGAGAAAGCAAAATGCAGTTCAATATAAAGCCAAACACTTTCAAAGTACTCCCTGACAAAACTGTCCTGGAGCTAGACACTACAGTCCTATGCAAAGGAAACTAGTAAATGGAAGGCTGTGTCTCCACACACGTCTCTGGTCATTTTTCCTGATGAGGTAAAGCAGGAAAAGCCTAGGTAGTAAGCAGCTGGCATGCCTGAGGACCACACACACTGCGGGGCTAAGGGCACTCTCCACACCAGTGTCTTCCAACCTTCTCTTAAATCTAAACGTTTATCTTATCAGTTTTTTTGTTAGTTTTCCAAAACAATTCAATTTCCCGAAACCTCAAATTTCATGTATTATAGTTTCCTGAAATCAAATCCTTTCTCTTCTAGCCCTCTGTGTTTCTATAGACCCTACCAGTTATTCTAGCTCTTTGCTGAAATTCACCAACCAAGTATGTTAGGAATCGGAACCAGTAAGACCAGAAAACTAAGTTGAGAATTCAACCACTGTCATCCTAACATAACCGCAATGGTTTGGCAAGAAGCAGCAATTAACTGAAAAGTTCTCAGAGCAAGGGAAGATAGGGCACTGGCTAGGAAATTCTGACCTAAATTATATTTTATTTAAAGAGCTACTGCTAACCTTTAATTCCAACTTCCCCAAGTTCTTCCTACAGATGCACTAACCCAGAGGACATACAATAACTTTTTATTACACAATAAAATGTTAAATAATGGTGTTCTTTCTAATGTTTGACCTTATTTTTCACAGAAACCTTTTCTGAATTTCTATAAGCCATAAGAAAACCATGCTTGTAACAGTTGTATGGTTTAAAATGCAAGCTTCAAAAGCTTCTTTCACATGCTACCAACAAAAGGGTAGGTTTAATGCAATAGTTAAAGGAAAAAAAAATAATTCTCAAGTTACATACTTAACTTCAGTTCAAAAAAAAGTCTTTTCAATAAGAAAGCACACTATTCATTTTATGAGATAAGAAAATAGTACAGAAAGTTTTAACACACACAATTGTAATTTCCTAATAGTTCTGACAAATGTGAAACTCATGAACTATCCTAACAAGAAAACATCCAGTTGAGAAATACATACTTTAGAATCCCATTTGCTCCAGAATAAGCTTCTATTGCATTGATACTGGTGGGCAGCATTGTAATAATTCTGTCGGCTTTTTCCGCTACATCTGCTGGGGAAGATACTACCTTTAAAAAAAATTGCAAAGGTACATTATTTAAATTAAAATGTAAGCAGTTTCTAAAGCACAAGTAAGATCTACTTTTATGATAACAGTGACAGTACATAAAAACTCCTTTTACCCACTGTCCAAAAAAAAAGGCTTACTGCCTAAAATAAAGAGTACATTCCTTATACACATGCAGATTCAGTTTCTGTGGAATCAAATCTACTGTTTATTTTTAAAAGTGTGAAGGGAGTTGAGGGGAAAAGGGCAAAACCCAACAGTCCTGGGAACAGACACACTTCTCATGAATTCCTCCAACGTGGATTCCAGCATACTTTCTGGTATATGCTTTAAGAAAAACATTCTAGTACAACAAAGCTGGTAGCCCAACTATAGGACTCACTAGTAATTAGCTGGACAGCAAAATCTCAAGTCCCAATCATTGCTACCCTCTAATTTCTATTTTCAGGCAAAGAAAAAACAAAAGCAAAAACACAAGGCTGTTTGAGAAAAGAGAGGGTCAGGACAAGGCCATGAGCACTAATGCAATGTACCACCAGGAAAGCTGACAGTCTAGCTACTGGACCAGATATGGAAATTACACAGACAGGGAAGAGGCAGAGCACTCTCTCAACCCTCATTCTCCTTGAATCATGACAATAAGCAGGGGGCTAAGAAATATGGTAATTAAGATGGTGGATTCCCACATGGCTGATCAAGGTTCCAGTCCCAGACCTGGTAGCTTGAAAAATCACACCAGGCAGGTGTGCATGAGTGCCCAGGATCCCAAGAGAAGGGAGGAAAAAGGATTATGGCATGGCCATCCACCACAAGACCCTTCCCCCGCTGGCCCCTCAGGGGTAATTTCTCACTTTCCTGCTCTCTCTTTCTCTCTCTCTCTCTCTCTCCATCTCCGAGGAGTGCACACATATGCCCTGTGGAACATACCTAAAAACATAACAGTAATAGTGACTATAAGTATACTGTAAAGTTGCTCTATCCTCTGCATGTGTGTATGCACGCATGGGTGTAAGCACACTCATACTCTTCCCCCAACGGTCTCACTCTCTCACTTATACACCTTGATAATAAACCCACACAGCAGCAACCAAAGAGATCAGAAAAGATCAAGGGCAGCTGGCTCCACTGCACAACAGTATTAATGCACTGCTCAATCCCATACCTCGATCTCAGTTGGAATTCCCAGCCTGGTGGGCCTGAAAACAACACAGGGCATACATACTTCCAAGTGCCCAAGAGCAGATAGGCTCGGGGACTGGAGGACGGGGTTCACAGTATGACCACACCTGTGGAGGGCACTTCTCTCCCTCTGTCCCCTACTCCCACTCTCACGCACGTGTGCTCTATCATGAATAAAGCAAAAACAAGGAGAGAACGGGAGTTCCCCCTTGACTCAAACTTTCCTTTAATGAAAGAATCCATTATTCCAGTTACCAAAGCTTCTCTAAAGCCTTTTTTCCCTTCATTCAAAAAAAAAAGGGGCAAAGTACTATCAGGTAGATTTTTGGAGATTTCTCCCCAGCATGATGTAGATATATGACAAGCTTCTATTTAAGTTATATATGTAGAAACTGACATATTTTCTGCTAGAGAATGTGAACTGACAGGTATGCACCTTAAGAATGGCAATGCTGGGACCAGCAGTTAGCGTAATGGCTATGTCGCTGGACTCCCATGTAGTCGACCACCATTCGCGTACCGGACCCAGTGGCTTAAACTCACACGGGGTGCGTGTACGTGTACGTGTGTGCCCAAGAACCCGAGAGGAGAATGGAGGAGAAGGGATTGCAGCGTGGCCATCCCCCTGGGGGATGATTTCTCGCTTTCTATCTCTCTGTCTCTCTCTGCCTTTCTGGCAAGCGCATGCACCCTATAGCAAACACCTCTCCCCCCCCGCCCCCCAAAAAATCATTCTTTAACATTTCAGGCAACCAAGTATCCTAGCATTTTATGTATTAACAGAGTAGGAAATGGTATTATAAAATATCTCAGACCCCAGAACAATAAAAAGATATTTTCTTTCTTGTAATGTTTCATTTTAAAGACAATGCCGCATTTTAAGAGTCTACAATGAGGTACTTTTTAAAAAGCATTATTTTATTTAAATGTATTCATTATTATTGTTATTACTATTTTTTAATTTGACCAGAGAGAGGGAAAGTGAGAAAGCAAGCCACCAGGTCTAGGACTCAAATCGTGGTCAGTCATAAAGGAGTCCAGTGCCTTAACCACTATGCCACCTGCCGGCCCCAGTACCTTACATTTTGATATTGAGATTTATGGTAATTTTGAAAATATTTAAAATTTCCATCAAATTACAAAGTAATATTAAGTTACATGGAAACCTTTCCTACTCCCAAACAAATATTGAGATTCAAAAAGGCTACTATTTCCTATCAGACAATTCCAGTTTACTCAAAGAAAATACAGCTCAATAAAATGAGATAAGAAAAAGCAGAAGCCATATGATCCTCTATAATAAGGGATTACAATAAGAATATGGGCTATGAGAGCGCTGCATTTGCTCATCCTCACATTAATGAAGTAAACACACACGAAAGGACTGCATCCCTTCCAGTGACATTCCCTCCACCCCAGCTCCATCTCACTAGACCTACTGAGGCCATCAGTAAGCCCTGAGGTCTAAGAGTCAGTATCAGACTTCTCAGAGATAGAAAAGCATTCTCTTCCATTGAATAGATAGATAGCTTCTAGAGAGGTGCCCTGAGGGGCATCAACAATTAGCTTACAGACCTAAGGGAGCTTCACATATCCAAGCTTCTGGGGCCCATGAACTCGCAGTGCCAATTCATGCAACTGCCAAGTACGCCGGGGTGGCCAATCAGCCCCCTGCATCCCTAGCATCTGCTTCTTGAGATGGTTGCAATGCCAGGGTACAACTAACCTTCAATTACACAGGAAAGTAGTGTCAAAGCTCACAGGCCCGGAAACAACATACAACGATGGTGATAGCTGGAACGTCATCACTGCTCTATATCTAATCACTGTATACATTTGGCACATTATAGCTACAATCTCTGATTTGTACTAAAGGGCATGTTCATTAGACAGATAGATAGACATTCGAATAATCTAGCCATTGATGTGATGATTTCAAGACTCTGAAACAACTGACAGAATTTGGCCATAAATCAAAAGTTGGGGGGAGAGGGGAAACAACCTTGTTGCCAGTCTGACACTAACCACAAAAGCCTTTAGGAGCCAAACTAATTAGAATCCCTTCAATTACATTTGCTAATTGAATGAATAAGCAAAGACAGCACACATCAGCAAAAGGAATGCTAATGTGGAAGCCAGAGACCCAGTTTAGTTGCAGCTCAGCCAAGAAGCAGACATGTGATTTTATGCAAATCACTCAACCTCTCTGGCTTCAGTTTCCAAATCTATAAAGAATAGTGAGTTGGATTATCTATACAAGTTTCTATCTCCAAGTCAGAAAGGAAACTTAAACTCAGATATTTTTCATTTTTAGTAACCTTGAGTTCTAGGAAGGTTTGTGAAAAGGGGCTGATGGGGCCAGAAGTTCCTGCAAATGGCCAGCACTGGTAGGACTTGCTAGGCCATGGTTCTGCTCTTATTGCCCAGCCTGTTCCAGACAGATCCCTACTAATTCCAACTGCCTCATTCTTACAGCATTATGAACTAAAATGACTCTACTTTTCTCTCCATTTTGACTAGCAGAGATCAGTTCCCATACATATCACAGTTACCTATAGTCTAAGAATTCTGGTGGGCCATCTTTCTGTATATAACTTAGATTCATTGGTATGATGGTAAGCATCAATGGCAGGAGGAGTGTAATACAGAGACTTCATGGAGGACTGGGTAGATCAAAGACAAAATAGGCTTTGTGGAGTGTGGGATGGGGGGAGGGGGGCGGGGAGGGCCAAGAAGATTCTGAAGGAACTGTATCACCTTATTACATATCCACTACAAGGAAACGATGACCTAACTGCTCTGTATGAAGAGAAAAATCTTGCTGTCTCTTCTAGAGGAAGCAGTCATGTAAATCAAGCTCATTGAGCATTGCTTCGAAGCAAACCAGATGGGTAACAGAAACTTGCAATGAAACAACAGGAGCATCACCTTGTTAAACCTGCCACTCCTCTGTTTCTTAATCTTTCAAAATAGACACTGTTACTTCACAATTATGCTGCACTTGAAAAACTGACAAAAACGGGTTTGTGCCTACATCTTGAAACATTTGGTCAAAAATGATGGAGCCCACTCAGCAAGAGGCTTTTAAAGTTCTTGTTTAACAAGACCTGAGTGGATGCCAGATTAGATCCCAAGAGATTTACTTAGCCAAACATGCTGAGCCTTACAGCCCAGGAACAACAAAATGGTCTCCAAGCTTTTAAAGAAAAAAACAAAAGAAAAGAGAATCTAATTAAGCCTAGTTCAACCAGAAAACTCACACAGAAATAATGCTTATGTCCCAGACTTGTGGCACACAATTATAGCATCTCCAAGGAAAATCTTGAACAATGAAAATGCAGCACAATCACATGTTTTTGTTTTGTTTTGTTTTGTTTTTTGAGAGGTTTTTGCGATAGGGCTCATGCGCTCGCCAGACAGAAACAGAGAGACAGAAAGCGAGAAATCACCCCCCACGGGGGATGGCCACACCGCAATCCCTTCTGCTCCATTCTCCTCTCAGGATCTTGGGTTCGCACGCTCACACGCCTGACATGACTTTTAAGCCACCGGGTCCGGGACACAAACCTCAGTCGACTACGTGGGAGTCCAGCGACATAGCCATTACGCTAACTGCTGGTCCCAATCACATGCTTTTGATGCAAAGGCTTAAACTGAAAATAAAAACCAGTATCTTCCAAAAAATAAAGGTGGGACAGACGGGACAGTGTAGAATAGATTCTTAAACAGAGTTGCTAGCAACTCACTTTCTCTCCTAGTTTGTTTGTTTGTTTTTTAATCAAAACTCTTTCATCTAAAAATACACCTACAATTATCTTCCAA